ATTTTTAAAGTATATTTTAGAAGGCTTAGACTACTAAACCTCGTTTAAAATTCGTATCTCTTTTATACGACATCTATTCTCTATTGTCTTTATATCAACGGATTAGTATTTGCAAGATCTCCAACTCTCGTTTAGATTATTTTGGCTAACAATCAATTGATCTAAAATCTGATTTCTGTGTTGCACACTACTGCGTTGAAACTTTGAAAATCATAACACCATCATACGAAGTTAGATTTAGATGTTCTCTATATGCACAACTTCGCCTTTTTGATTACCAAGATTTTCATCAAGCTTGGTTACCCTAAATATTCTTCTACTAAAACCATTGAATTACGTAATTGGTCGTTAACACTGTAAGGCGAAACTAGGGTGTTACAACTCTCCCCCATTTATAGAGATTTCGTCCCCGAAATCCTACTCCTAACACACCTCAAGATAATGCCTACACACTATCCTATTAGGATATTATGAGATCAATCTGAGGTCTAGCCAGCATTGTCCCTAGAATCCTACGCCTAACACACCTTACGATAATGCCTACACACTATCCTATTAGGATATTATGAGATAAATATGAGGTCTAGCCAGCGTTGTTACCTCAAATTCAACTATTTGTACTCCCTGAATCCTTGCTAATCTTCCAAAACTAAGAACTCTTCGGTTTGGACTCCCAGAATCTTATGTTCTACGATGGACATCTAAAAAGGCTGGGCATCTAATAAAAAAGTCTTGTTGATACAATCAACTTGTTATGAAGTGATTAACTATGAAAATTTATCTAATATATCCTAACAGAATCCACTTTCCAAAGCATGCGTCTAAAAAGGCTTTATGGCATATTCTTAAAACACACATCAATCTATACAAATGGTATTCCAATGTAGTTCAGGTGTTCAAACAATCTGATTTTCAACCAAAGCTTACTTCAACAGGTCAAAATCTAAAATGAATAGTCTAATATTGGTTACGGACTCATTATGAGGCTTCCTACTCGGTTATAATGAGCACTAGTTCACCAAAAACCTTCTCGTAAGGCCCTAACTTCCTTACCTATATCAAGGTACAACTATTGTTCGAGCAATTTGTTCTTATGCATCTTGCAATACGTCATGATACTTTTCCAATTACTAGGATTGCAATGTCAGATCGCTCTTGTCATCATCCCCCTTGGTCCTAAAGACTCAAGATCAACCCTGCGATGGTCTTAAAGACTCACAATCGTTAAAAGGAACCCAATCATCATCCTTCCTTGATATCTACTTATCATAACATATCTTTGCTATTTAAACTTTTGAGATTGCAACCGATCTAAGTTCCTTAATATACATACGGATGTTGAAGTCTAATTGTCATTCTTTGTTGAGCTAAACTTCGTTCCTCATTTATACTAACTCTTACGCTTTATTGACAAAAGAAATAACTAAACCAAACATGTCACTTTACCTCGAGAACCTATGATGACCATGAGTCATTAACATATAAATACTTGGCAACATAGATTCTAAAGTTTAACTTGTTCCCTATATGAGAGTTATGGTTTGACTATAGGCTTCTATCAACTCACATTTACTCCTTTGTGAAAATACTAGTCACACATGTTGTCGTATGTAGCTAGGAAACAGTTAGACAGTCGAACACAATTTCTTACAGATGAGGAACATACATAGGATATTTACACTAGTCACTGAACGAACATGTAAGTATTAAGATACTCACGCGACGATCTACCTAACGTGACCCTTAACTAAACGAACATACATAGGATATTTACACTAGTCACTCACTATCCTTTTGTGTTCTCTATCACCAATTGAAACCTTTCATCCTAAAAGCTTGGAAAGCTCCTTGACAATATTCTGCAGTCTTATTGTGGTTCTAATCATCATATGAAATTCTTAGACCTTTTTCTTGCAAGCCAAACTACAACAACTTCTTATCTTACAAGGCATCCATATTATTGATCCTTCATAAATTACCATCCTTTATGCAAGTTTTACCTATTAAAGTTGAACTCTTTCTAATTTACGCTAGGAACTCTTAGTTATTCTTAAATGCTACTGCCAATATCAAGATTGTTTGGTTGAACTGGATCAACAACTTGGTCTATCAATCCTATTATGTATACTGTTGATATATCTGCAATCCTTGGAAGGCACTACCACTTCTCTAAATTGACATGTCCATCCGAATGATCCTCTTCTAGGTGTCTTTATATGCATTTTAGATTATGACTTGAAACGTTTGTACTACGAAAATGCTTTCTCCTTGACATTGATCCTATGGTTTCCGTCTTTTGGCATAAGGAAACTAGGTCCTTACTACCAGCTTAACTAAGCTTTCTAAGTCTGATGCATCACTTGAGTACTCAACACCCTCTATGGAAAACAATGCCACCAGTTGAATTCCTAATCCTCTGTTGTGAAAATACATCCCTTATTCTTGAAGGTACAAATATGGATGGTTCTCTTGGCTATTTAATTTGTACCTAGGAATTCGAGAATTTCCTAAATCCTATATGATGTATGGGTAGGAAATGCTAACATTTCCTTGAGAAGCAAGAAACTCATAGTCTATGGGTAATCTAATAAAATACTTCCTTCTCTATTACACGCTTACCAAAAACGAAACTAACATCTTCCGTTTACCCGTGTTGCTACTCTCCTATACGTTGACGTTGAAATTGAAATTTGAACTACTCTTTGAACTTTCTCCATAAGGGTTGATTCTCCCCTACTTGGGTTCAAGCCGTCATTTGCTAATGCTCATAACTAGCCAAAGTCCAAGGTGGCTTTTCTAATGTGGTTTGGTGGCTCCTTTTGACTTTGAAGAAACTCATGTTTGTCATATCCAATGACCTTCGACATTCTTATTTTAGTACCACCGTAAGTGGTCTTAAAACACGACTAAAGCAGGATAAGATCATAATAAACACAACATTGTCTAGTAATGTACTAATGCATATGCATGCCAAAAAGGATTTTATTACGTAATAGAATTTTACAAGCACTAACGACGATTGATGGGTTACATACTAATACTTATGTATAGAAAATAAACATAACAACACACTATCAAACATTTCTACGAGTGTCGCTCATTCTTCTTTGATAGGAAAAAAACACAACTCCTTCATTGGTCGTGGGTTCCTTTTCCAATGAATGCAGAAATTCTTCATCTTCCTGCAAAACTGCAAGCGTTGGAATATAAATCATTCCTATTGTTAAACGGGTGCAATTAGCCAAAATGTGACTAGATAGACAACAACAATGCCATAATTTCATCCCTAGCGTGCAACATTGATGTTTATGCCCCATTTTTTCGCACCTATCGCATTTGATCCTATGATGTCCCAACCTTTAAGTATTTTCAGGGCTTGGTATAACAACATCAAGCTTCCTATCTTTTATTAGATGTGTTAGATCTTGCCCCCTTTTACTCTTTGCTATTTAGGTTCTTTCCTGACTGGTACCAACAATTTCATCGGGAGTTCGAACGGCCAAAATCTATTCTTTGATTTTGACGATCAATCTGTTAGCGATTCGCTCAATGGGAAATTCCTCTCGTAAATCCTACGAGACTTCAGTGGCAATCCACTCGCGTAGTGATGCGCTATCAGGGCCAATCCCAAGGCTTTTTTCTTATGGTGTGCAGTCGACATTCTGTTAATATAAACAAACTAGTTACAACATATTCTACCGACCTTTTATTGTAAAAAAAAGTCCCTAAAGAACTAAACCTATGTCTCAGCAAGATAAGCACATAAGACATTTTACATTAATCTCATCCTTCTTGTACTAATAATCTGACCCTTTCTCTTATGATTATGGGAGATCAGCATATAATCATATCATAGCAACTAACTGAATGGTCACATTCTAATGACCTTCTATTTCATGATGTAAAGGATTTCTAATGAACTAGACTCTTGTCCCTACGAGTCAACCACTTAAAATAGAAGTCATTTTCCTTCATATTCTAATGTGGCACAACCACATCATGGTAAGTAGCAATTCTATATGCTACTTGCTAAGCTACAATGAAGGTTTCCATGCATCCTTATGTCGATTACCTTGATTACTTCCTTTTTAAGTCTTATGACTATAGTCGACACTATGTCGGACAAGGTTCATAGAACCAACTCTCTTATGCAAATTTACTTTATTCTGACTCAATATTTTATGTCCACTTGGGTCCAAAATTAGAGTCACATCATATCACAAGTAATGATTGAAATAACACAAAACGAATTTATATTGTTAGCCACACTATCTACCCAACTTCTAGTGCCTTAGCAACTTTTTGATTATCCCTGATCCAAGTGTGACTCCTGTGCTTCGGGTAGTACATGCCTCTACTACATTTCACACCTACTCGTACTTGTCCCAAAAATTGTCTTTCATTTTTCTAGTCAATTCTGACACTACATACAACGATCGCTAAACATATATGTGTATGTGTCCCAACAAGTAGATACAACAGATTTTCCTAGACCCTACTACGACTTTGCATCTTTACTGATATCCTACCATACGAATATATGCCTTATCAAACATATATTGAACTTCCTACACTCCCCTTCTAAGATTCATTTCCAATTCACCCTACTATTAGTTGAGGACGAACTTCTACCAATATTAACTAATTATTGGACGAATACAATTACATTCCACTAAAATCAAACAGTATGTCGATTGAAATATCTGACATTACAACAGTTAGACTCATACGAGAGCTATGTAATAGCATCAAATCAAGCAATCTAAAACTATTTAATTATGGGAGAATGTAGCTTTTATCATGGGGGTTCCTCATAAATGGTCGACACACCTATTTTTATCGTTGCCGGCTACTGTTCCCGACCGAGAGTCTTATATCAGGGGGGTTCGTAGTTGCTGACTAAGTTGATCAGCATTCCATAGTCTCTGAACTGATGTATTGCGGATGACTTGGGCTTGACGGCGTTGCTGGAGTCATTTCTTATGCCATATCTTCGCAATATGACCGGCCTCGTGAATTTCGTCAGTCACTCATGGTGTCGTATTTTGGGTTTCCGGGAGAACATATTTAGGGAGCTTGCTATAGAGTTCCTTTCTAATGTCCAAATTAACTGGGAAACCAATAGTTGGTCGGACGACTTAACCTTTGCTTTCAGACTGGGTGGAGTTGCCCGATGTTGCAGCTTCATAGGCCTTGGGCAGCGCTTAGAGATTTATCCTGCCAGGGATGCTGATCATCCTTTCTTGGAGGCATATTTGGATAGTTGCATTCTCTCAAAGCCAAGGGAATACAACCATTTGAGTATATGGGCCTTAGTTGTCAAAAATTACTTTTCGAGGTCGGCGAAGGACGAAAGTTTCAGATCACCTTTGCACCAGTCCATGCACTGTTTAATCGCCTCCACTATTCACCATCGTAAATGGCATGATAAGGTCCCTTCAAGCAACCTTTTTCCTATGTGGTACCTCCTCCACACCTACGTCCACCTCTATATTCCTTACATTATTGCCTATTTTTTCTCCTCCAGTTTGGCTTAGGGATCGTAGCCACATAGTAAGATCTATGGTGGCCATTTCATCTACCGTTTGGCTCGGTCTTATGTTGTTGATACCCATGGGATGACTCATTATCCCCTCTGGGAGCTGGATGGGGAGGCTTTGACACGTTACGAGCGGTTGTTTGTGGGCAAGATCGGATTTTAAGGATTCCTCCTAATGATGTTTTTGTGCCCATCCGTTAGGTGGATCCGGAGTATGAAGAGGAGCGAGAGTTTGAGAAGGGCTATCGTCAGTAGTAAGTTCGATGTGCTCCCCATACTGGTCAACGGGACCCGCAGACGATTGATATATCCTATCTCTCTATCCGCATGAACGAGTTGGGTAGAGAGGTACATAATGTATGTCATTTCCAGCAGTGGATGACGAGGGGTATGACTGATTGGTTCGATTTTCATAGATTTCAAAATCCTCCTTACCAACAACTGAGTGATAGGTGGGTACATAAGGAACACACTTTGATGATGATGATGATGAGGGTGATGACGATGGTGATGGTGATGGAGATGACGAGGAATATATAGATTAGTCATGTTCATTTTTTATTTGGACATGTAGACAACTTCCTGATACTCTTATTGTTGTATGTTATGGTGGTTATGTATGGGTGTAGATGCCTGCTTTTTGGTAGATGACACTATGATGTGGATATATTGTGTATGTGTGTGTGTGTGTATATATATATATATATATATATATATAATATATATATTATATCTTGATTGGTTTATTATTGTATTTGCGTTGTTACCTTCTAGATTTGATCAAACTTTTAATCTATTAATTACCATATTTAAGTTTAGTATTGTATTAGGCCCATCCAAAATAAAACATAACTGATCATTTATAAGTGTAGTCTTGGTTTGACCAATGTGCTATTAAACTTATCTAGGGTACATAACCTCCAATCTTGATTTCCATGGAATTTTTATTGTGTGTTTTATTAATTTCTGCTTTTGCAATTCAAGACTCTGAAATAAGGATCGTCCATGTGAGAAGTACTGAAGGGCAGGAGAATTTTAGCATATTGTCATTCTAAACTCCATTAACTCAAGCAATACTTCAAACTAGTCACCTCTCCCATAAGTAGTCAATCGGTAGTGTCTTTTAACAATACTTTTAATCGTAGATCTGAGGACATATCTTTATATAGTATATGTCCCGAAGTTATAGTCGTATTTCCTAAAGAATTACTAATTTGTTATATCCCTTAGGATGTGATACCAACCCATCCTGCCCAAACTTCCTGAATTTCGATTAGAACTAAGAAGTCATATCCTACAGATGATCGCCTTCCAACACTACCATGAAGACTGATCTTAGCGGAAATCACGTATCATGATGAAGTAATGAACCATGATAATCTGTCCTCGGCCAACGAAAGAAAACCAAAATGCCCTGATCAAAACTGAAACACTACATCTGGTATAACTTCTCGATAGATCGAACTGTCCCATCCCACCATTTGTAGAATCTAATCTGCAACCTGAACCTAATGAATCTCATCTAACCTTGAATCAACTTGTTGATAACTTGGAAAAATAGAATTCATGACCGTTCACTGCTGCTAAAACCTTGCATCCCAAAATAAAGGCGACTCCCCAATAGATAGATCACATCCTGATGACCGCATATTCACAAATTCAATATATCCGAGGTTCCACTGATTCCATGTTGACCTTCTTGTAATTGGGATGTAGAATATTTAGCCGATCGATGAGACTGACAATCTTATGCACTGTCACCCAACAAGACTCTGCCTTAGGGTCTAATTGATGAAGGCTACCCAATCCTATCGCCTACAGGGATCCAACCCGCTCATTATTGAGCTTCCCTACTCCATAATTGCTCTAACACCCCAACTATGCCAAGCACTACCTAGTCCCACTCTCACGAGTCATACATTTACTGATTCACTTTATACCGAGACATCATTTATTCAACTTAAACATTAACATCACAAACATATTGATTTTGTCATCATTCCATCACTGTCCTACAGACTTCTAATCAACACTTCATGCCTCTTTTATAACCTTAAACGTATAAAGGATACGCTCACCCAAGATAAAATAACCAATTTGGCCTCACCATCAATCTGAGCTATACTAGTCTAATCACTGATACGGCTCTAGCCGCTCCTTCTCCTTAATAAGGAGTGGAAACTAATAATGAACCCGCCACCTTAGTTCGAAGAAGGTTATCACAATCTTATAACCATTCTTGTGTTGGTTTAACTCACTCTAACGGATAGAACAAACCAAGTCATATACTAACCACACTTCAACAACCGCCTACCAATCTAGTGAATCCTACGGCTACCACGCGGTATTACAACACTTCTACAACTACCAATATAGTGAATCAGGTGTTCGAGTCATGCCTCAAACCCCAATGCCTGATGGGTTTTGAGCACTCTAACAACCTTATGGTGCACATGCAACCCTAGATGCTTTGTATCTATGGTTTCACTAATTATACATGCAATTTGATTTTCCAAAGCATTCATCCTAACTAGCATACATTTGAACAAAAATAACTAGTTAGATAACTTACTTATTAGTAGGACTTGTAGTTCTTGGCCTTCAAAAGCTTTAGCACCTCAAATGTGATGCCTCTAATGTGTCACAAACACCAAGTGCAAAAGGAGGCTTGAGATAATAAGTTGCTAAGCACAAAAATCGATTCACACTCTCCAAGAATGTATATGGCAACCGATTTTAGTCCTAGGGGGTTCCTTTTATAGTGTGGCAAGTGCTAGGGTTACATCCATGTATACCCTAATGATCCATGAATCTTCATATTATTTAGGCTCCATGGGTTAAACCTCCATGGACTATCCATGTTGGCTTAGCCCATCCTAATTAACCATGGATCATTGGAAAACACTATAAGAATCATTGATTTACCAAATCAGACCCCGTATATTTAATTAGTCTCTTTTGATCACTAAATTTATTCCAAATTAATTCTTGATCAATATTAATTAAATAATATGATTTCATATTAATATATTATACTTGTAATATATTAACAAATCACAAATAACCTTATTCTCAAAAGTCCATCCTATCAAGTTGCATTGGTGAAGGCAACCCAAAAGGACCATCCTACTCTCGAGTCAAGTACATACCAATTATAGTTCTGGGCTTAGACACATAAACCAACAGTCTCCCACATGGATAAATCTAATAACTATAACTGCAAGTACAACTCTAAACCGACTAGCAATCGTAGCTCTTAAAAGTCGTTGTCGAACTATGACCCAGTCAGTGACACGTCCTTTAGAAAAGGGATCATATAATCCTCTATTCTTCAAGATATATCAGCTGGAGAAATACATGGAACAACGTCATACTTATTGTCTAGCAGTTTGTTTCTCGATTTCCAATTTTTTTGGCAGAGAACATAATTAAACACATCAAATTAGTCTCGACCGGGCCTGATGCATAAGTAAAAACAAAATCATTGAGGGGACCAAGATATCGCTTTTAATTCTCCAAGAATTAAAAGGAACATATAAACTTCGACATTATATGCTTGTTCTAACTATTTGTTAAATCATACACAACAACGCATTTTATAACATCAAGTTACTAATGCGTTTTCTCACTATCAATGTACAACCAACTCATAGTCAACAACTCGTATATCTAGGTTTGAAGACTTATATGATATTATCGTCTCACAATCGCTCATGAAAAATTCCATGAAGTGATTCAAGTGAGCGTGGATTTAATCCAATACTCAGACGTTATGAACACTCATGAATGTTGTAGCAAACTTTTTCTATGTCTAATACACTTCAAACAATCTACAAGACAAATTCTTGACAATCTTGCCTCAATACCTACTTCCAACGTATGATCGAGTGTGGACAGTTTGAATAATAAAATTATTCTAGAAGTCAAAACATGCAAAGTGAAACACAAGAATAATCGAATCCAATATGGTCTCAGAACTTATAAATATAAATAAAACACATTTTATCTAATAATCATATCGATTACACATTATTCATTATATAATGTTTCGATTTATCAACTTAATACATGAATTAAAACAATAGTTATGCCATGCTCCAAGCATGCATGCTATGTTTGTCTATGGTCCTTACTTTGTGAAATAGATCAATTTAACACGTTTTCAATGAAACTCATTTCACAATTCCAAATCCTTACCGTAAATGTAAGAATACCAAATTCTTGCCATTCACTATAATATGTTAGATTCTAAACTTTTATGCAATGATCCTCTTGTCATGACTATGCACAAAAGTCACAAAGACTTGGCAACATACATTACAAAGTATTCCAATGGAGAGAAATTTCATGGAAACGAATTCTTACATTCAAAGTACTTTCCTTTGAACATCCTTCATGCATTAAGTTTCCTAATCTTACACACGTTTAAACAATAACTTCCACTTATGGAAACATTTCCATATTCCCATTTTGACTATCGCTTCTGAAAAAAGAGTTATCTCTTCTCATAGTATGCCAACATGGTCCTCCCAAAATTTACACTATACTTCCAATTGTCTATAAGCAACCAATCTTTGGTAAACCTCAGATTGTCCTCGACAATTGCTTAACCATTTTGTCATATCCAGTTCTGGCCCTCTTAATGTCCTAGGCATTTGGAAAATTCAGAACACATAAATATTATATCATATGCAATCGATCCTATACCCGAAGCATATGGGATACGATTCATAATGTCTCACATAAAGATATGATACTTTACAAGTCTCTTTCTATAATATTTCCATATATAGAATTTCCTTATGTTGAATCTTTTCAACATAACATTCATATATATTTTTTTGACTAAACTTGATTAAAATCTCAATCTAAGCTTTTGTTTTCTATAATTAACATTGCTAACTTGCAACACTTACCATAATCATTATTCTCCCACTAGCATAACACTTATGCTTCCATTAGCTTTGACATGTATCCAAAAATCCGTTGGACTTCTAG